GGTGTTGAAGCAAGGAATTCACTGTAATCTGATAAAGATATTAATTGCCCATATCACCGCAATAAGACCTTTCAATTTAGAAATTCTCACCAAGTATATTATGAGGAGCAGAGTTGTAGAGGGCTAAAATTTATACATTAGTTTTGCGACTACAGGCACCCCAAGTTTTGCTGTTAAAATGTTCGGTTACTGGGACCAATTAGTTGTTTATTTCTCCCCCTCATTACATTAAATTGAATCCGGTATGACATGTAATGAGTAATTCACATCAAATCTAGAATTGGACTCATCTGATACACAAAATCGTAGGATGGCTCTGAGGATTATAAAATAAACGAATAAAAACTTAGTATGAGGATACAAAATGGAAAGGACTGTACTATTTTCACTGTTGGCTACTATTTTTAAAGTCGATAGGAATCTTACTAACTGAAATCAGTGCGTTTCAGAGCGAGGATTTTGTAGTGAAAGTTCCTTTTATCTCTTGAACAAGGCTTTCGCGTAGATTTCAGACACCGTATATGCACAAGTGTATCTCAAAATCATTGACTAGCGGTTGGATATGTAAGCCCTATGGTTCGTCTGTTTGAAAATTCTGAAGTATTATGAAACACTTTGGGTGCTTTATCTGTCTATCTCTCTTGAAATCGGTTGTATTAGCACAGATGTACTCACACCTGGTTTTCCTCAAAATTTTAAATTTTAGTTTCCCTACGCTAAACTAGTTCTAACCATTTGAGTTCAGAAAGTGTTATTTCTGGTCTGCTGAAACCGCATCTAAAGCTTCGTGCCGCCGTTCGAAACATATGTTGAAACGGACAACAGTATTCACTGAGATCTAGACCAGTAGACAAACACTGAGTCTTCAAAGGTCGCATATTGGATCCAAGTGTGGTCATTAACCTGACCTCAACTAGTCAGTTTCCAGGATCAAACAGAATTACCTGTTATTTCTGGGGAACTAATCAGAAGAGGCCATTGTGGACTAGATTCCGATGGACAACCGACTGTACACTGACCGACTAAACGGAACATTAAGAAATCAGAAGCATGTGAATACATGTGATTGTCTTCGGTCTTTGACTAAGCTCCCACTAACTGCGATTCTGGTAGGGGAAATATCATTTCTATGGAGTGATTCTTGACCTCTGCCACAGAACCAGATGGTCTGCAGCTAAGCACTAATATCAAACGATTAGGAGGGGAGATCGACCTAAGCCCTCCAAATCCTAACGAAGTTGAAATGTTTATAGCTGACCTGGAGCCAGGGAGAGCATTGGGACCTGATGGGTTGACTCCAGAGATCCTTGAGAATAGTGACCCACTTTTAGCTGGCCTGGGGGGTAATTTCACTTGATTTGTTTCGACTCCCCATCGTCTGATTTTATAGGAAGTGACAGAAACCCCTTTTGATAACCACAGAGTGGTCAGTTTGAACAGTATCGTGCCTAAAATATTAGCTTCATTGATCATTCAATGTTTAAATAAGGCATGTGAATGAGCTTGGGGGAACTAAGTTGTTTTTAGACCTAGACTTACCGATCAAATATACACCAAGTTTTGGGACAATGATGCTTATTGAAATTCAACAATAGTGGTGTTTGTTGATCTGAAGGTACCCTTTGATTATGTTGGCTGGGATGTCTTGTTGTAATATTTGTAATAAAGAGGTGCGCTGGGGAAGCACATAAAAATTATGAAGGCTCTTTACTCGAGTCACAACTTATGGGCAGTTGTTATTAGCATTGTTAACCCCAAGGAGCGTTCCTCAGGCCAATCAACTTCCCCTATTTCTGTTAAACGTCACAATAGGCATATTCATAGTAATAACACTTTAACTCTTCAAGAATTGTTTTGGTAGACAAATTTGTAGACTTGGAGTACGAAAGTATCGCAGTTCTATTCAGTGAAGACTGAAAACATGCGCTGCCTTTTAATCAACTTGGACGATGATATACGGAGGCTCGAAATATGTTTCTCTCGCTAAACACAAAATGTTCCTTGAAGACTGGTTTCTTTCAACAGCTAATGATGAGGGATGAAGTAACAGAAAGTGTCGATCGCTTCAATTATCTTGGTAGTTCCATAATTCCTAGTAGGTCTGACGAAATGTCTTGACACTGATCTAGAAATCTTGGTGGGGTTTTGCATCTTTCACCAACTGCAGTGGAGAGCTGACTGTCTGCTAACCAAAGGACGACTATACTATCCAGCAGTTCGCTCTTTTTAACCTTATGACTGTAAGAAGCAGTCTTTAGAAATAGAGAACATCCGTAAGTTGCTAGTGTTTGATCCAAAATATCTTTGAAGCAATGCTTGCGTATGTTGGGACCTGTAGGTGATTAGACGCAGAGTACTGGGGAAAGGTAGTAAGTTAGTTGATATGATTGCGAATCCTCGTCAAGTAAGGGAGTTAAAATACATATTACATACACCCAGAAGCCACCTACGCCGAAGTGTGATGTTTGCTGATGGAGTAAGATGACAGAAACTCAGGGACAGCCAAACTGAAAGCGTATTAATCTATGAAGTGTTTGACCATTAAACTTAGCCATGCTGATAGATACAGGCTATTTGGTTGAGGTTCGCACGATAACGGTAGTCAGTGGCTGGAGACGTTGGGTAACACGACTAAAAATGAGCCACAATGTACCAGCTATATTCTCTATTGATCTTCTTATCGATCTTGAATTCCAATACTACCTCAAATTGTAGTGAAATGCTCTCGAGATAATTCCTATGCTTCATACATCACTAATATTGGTAACACTGTTGCCGACATAAATAGCACTGTCTACTAAATAAGTTAGTCAAAAGGATTTCTAGATTTTAGTACCATGTCAAGCCCACATGCGTTATTTTAGCTTACAGACAGACCACTTTGTTTCTTCTAGAGTCACATTTGATCTTGTCAATAATTTGCTTATTAGCCTTGACTGTTTTTATATGAGCGCATATGTAGGCATTGTATATCTTATCCACTACTTGCCTGTAGCTTATTTTTGTCTGACCATAAATATTGAGTCACGTTTGATAAAATTCAGTTGGCTCACTCGCCTTATCCGCTCCTCCTTCCCAATTTTTGCTTTGAAGGTCTGTTTGGATAAGCGAATGCTTGGAATAAATTCATCCAACGTAAGACATTATCGCGGAGTTAGACTAGGTAATATACGAAGTTAAATGGAAGATTTATGTACATAGCATATTTATACGTTCATCCAAATCCGAGTTAGATACTGGGCCACAAAAGCTTATTACATTTAAACGTGCACAAACCCAAACGTAGATGGGGGTGTTATAACATATATATACTTTCACTCGGTCCTTTCGAACACCATTCTCAATACTTAGTCTTTATTGTTATTAAATTATTTCGATTTCTTCGGGTATAAATCTTGTTGATTTCATCTCGTCATTATGAAGCAGTATGGTAACTTGGGTCAATGAACATTCATATCAAGCTTTACATTGATGATGACTGATTGACTGCAGGTCCTATGTCATTTGTGACTGATTGAAATTTACTCGTCATAGTTAAATGGTGTCTATTACAAAAAATATATTGTTTATCCATGGGCCGACCTTTTAAGCTGTTCACGGACATGCATATTTGTGATTTAAGTAATCCTTTTGGTTAGTTGACGCTGTTACTAAATCAATCACTGCAAGTGACTCAACAGTCTTCAGACTGTAATATTGAGGATTTATATAACAGCTGATTAATCACTGGTTCAGTAGTGACTAATGTGATGTTTATTACTTCCTGTTAGTACTATTTGAATTCCACCGTTCAAATTGCAATGTGTCTAAGTGAACTGGGATCACATAAGCTATACTGAGTTGTTAGGTTGTTTGATGCACTCAATAGGGAATATTTCTCGACCAGAGATTTTGACAGAAATGATGTTTTCTGAGAGATGTGATTGTACATCACCCAGTTCCACAGTTTGAGACATTATCACCGATTAGAGATATACATTACTGAAGAGTGTCAAATAGCATAAGCCCTGGGTCCAGGGATTCCTGCAGACTGCCTCCAGTTACCTAAAAAACCGTTGTCATAGTTACACACACGTTAGGTGTTATCGTTTAATATTCCTGTAGGGATTAAGGTGCTAAGAGAGGAAGTTATGTTTTTTTTGTTCATTTTTATCAGTCAGTACAATTCCCACTTGTGGTTCCATTAATATACTCAGTCGTATCAAAGTAGAAGACTGTGCTAATTGTAAAGACAATCTATACTGCTCTATGTAACAATCATTTATAAGAATATTCACTAGAATTTGAACGAAAAGTTCTACAGAAATCGAGCACCGAGTAAGTAGAAGGCATTAAAAATAAAAATTATAATCTCAATGGTTTATGTTTGAATAATTCCAGGGTTTTCCTGAAGCAGATCGGATCAGTGAAACGAGCAAAATGTTGGTATTTTAACCTCTAAAATTATTTGAAACACAATTTAATAATAATTGGGTGAAGTTTTTTTCTTTTCAAAAAGTGTACAAGCGAATCATTCTCCGTAGGTATACACAACACGAACAATTTGCTTTTACATGAATAAATTAAAACTAAACGTGACCTGAATTATTAATTTAAAACAAAATTTTTCATCCCGCTTACATGGGAACTTACACTTCTGGGACAAAAAATATCAATTAAAACAAACAATTATACACACATACAAAATAAATATACAAAGGTGGAAATTAATTACCACAAACTTTGTTTATATTTCCTCACAGAAATTATGTCATCGATTTATTTGCGTAAAACAATAGGGATTTGTAATCATGAACATCATCATTATATTCAGAAATAAATGGTGAACTTATTCAATGTGATATGCACAAACTGTTCGTTGAAATCACATCGCATTACAGCAATTTAACTATTGATATGCAAAAAAATGGACAGAATGAATCATACAAGAAAGCATCGTGTAAAAAAAGAAACCTGAATGATGATCACTTTTAGAAGATCATTTCTTCTCGGTAGATGATTTAATTTCTTTCTGTGCAATAACGTAGACTGCGGTAATTGTTTCTACGTGACTTAGGTTCACTTTTAGGTCCTTGTCGAGAGAAGAAATTGCGTCGAGTTTCATTCGTAAATCTGTTTATAGTAGTAGTATTCTTAGTTAAGGTAGTTTCAGTTTGAAATGTTGATAGGTAATCATCACCAGTGACACGTGGTCGTTTTTTACATAATCTATTGTTGTGTAAGAAAAGGAAATAAAAAACGAAAATTAGGAAATTTACCGATTTATAATTAAGATCAATGCATACTGGTATATACATGCAGGTTATTTATAGGTGAATGATCAATATGGAATAATTGTTCTCAGTGTGTTTGGAGACCCTAGGTGACATAACTGAAACAAAGTGAGTATAGTGGGGTGATTGGATTCACATTTTCCTATTTTCTATTAAATCCTATGCTCTGATAACAACCTTTTCATTAATTCATTTCAATCGACATTCCCGTGGTAAGATTTTTTATTACATGATAATATGGAGACCATATTATTTACGATTTAAATGTACCAAGAGAGAGAGATAAAAATTCCAGTTCTTAACATCAAACGGGGAATATTTAGTCTTTTACTAACATAAGCACTACTATTACATTTGATCACGTTATTTCAATGTAGGTAGTGATATATTTTCTTTTATATGACAATAATGAGGTTTGATAGAAATATCATTTAAATTGGTTTATAACTGATTAATGACCAACGTCATGTTTGTCTAGTCTGTAGTGTCGATTGAGTTCTTTAGATTCGATTGCAATTTAGCCAATGATATGGATATCGCATGGACTATGCTTTGATATCTGCAGACAAATTGAGTGTCAACTAATACGAAACCTAGGTCCGGGGTACCCTGGTGAATGCTTTAACATGATTAACACCAGTTGAAGATAAAAATGACTCCATCAAGTGACTGTAATGCTGGTATAAAAATGATACAGGCGTTCAGATGATTGAACTTTTTTAAAAAAGATAGTAGAAACGATTTCAGGTTGACAGATTAAGTGCTTTTCTCATTCACTATATAATTTATTTTATAATTTACGACGAAAACACACGTAGAAAGATTAACATGGGTACAAAAACAGAAATTCCTAAAATGGATAAACCATTATTAAGCTAATCATAATTTTGAAGGTGATATAATAATCATAGGCTAAAAGCCATTAAAACGTACATTCTTTGTTCATTAATCTGTTCATCAGAATCAGTAAATGAACTACTGGAATTTGATCCATACATTGTCATACTATAACATTTTCTTGACTTTTTACTATATGGTTCTTCCGACTCATCATCATCATCATCTTCGCTAGCGCTACATGTTGGTGATGTTTGGGGTGTATAAAAAGTTGAATTCAATGCTGATATAGGTCTTTTACAACGACGTGATGACCACCAATGACGTAAATGACCATCAGAACCAAAAATACGCATAAATGAACGAACAACTTCATGTGAAATATCTTCTAATTGATCAACAAATTCACGACGTTTACTATCAAAATTTTGAATAAAAGTAGAACCACGTTTCATCATGTTTTCAAGATTATCTTGTAATTGAATACTTTTTTCCTACATAAATTTAATTAAGGAAAAAAGAGAGGATAAAATGATATTCATTTAAAGAAGAAAAGTAATGCATTAAATTACATCATTAATAATCATTTAAAGAAGTAGAATTTAGGGGCATTTATTAAAATTTCAATTGCATGTATATTCAGCTGACCAGGTTAAAAAAGGAGCATACGACACCGTGAATTTCACGACTAGCTACTAACTCAACTTAAAGTGGTTGCAGTTTAATGGCAATGTTGAGACAATACGAATAGAATGAACATATTCTAAAAGAGATTTCATCAATTGTAGTCTTTCACACTAACAACAAGAAGATTCAAACGACACTTACAAATGAAATAGAGTGATATAATCTTTAAAAAAATATTAACTTCATGTAATCGTAAGATATTTAGATTTTCCCCATTTTGAAATCGTGGAGATTTACAACTCTGGAGGATCATTTTGTTAGTTACCGATGATGTTATTGTCTAGAAGGAGTAATGAAAACTTTACGATAAAACCATCTTATTTCAAAGAAGAAGTAATTCTACCAAAAATTTACTTTAATGAGTAGGGAAAACAGCAGGTGTTTGTAGCCCGAAAACGTTTTTTTTTAATATCTTGTTGCTTTATTACTAATGATTGAGAAGTGGTTGAAATACCCAACTTCTACGATATTATTTAAGTATAAACAAGTAGTGACTGGCATAACATAATTTTGTCGATAAGAGGGATGTTAGGTAACAGCATTGAAAAAATCATAAGATTAATTCACTAACGTTGACAGATTGAACATTTCTCTTCTGACATTGACTTGGTTAAATATGCGCTGAAGAACCATTCGTTAGTGAAATTATGAGAACAGTGAACGAGCGAACACTGTCATTATTAAATGTATGAATTATTTGATTGTTGATATGTTTGAATGAATTTTGATCAATCTTTTTTCTCATACATGCATCCTGTAAGAATAAACCTCGATAGAGCCATTTGTCACAAGCTTTTAATAGATAGTGTAGATGAATTGTGGGTAGCAGTGGAATTCAGGATACACTCATCTGAGACATAAATCTTTACTATCATTCGAAAAATATTTTGAGTCTGTTTCACTAGGCGCTAATCTTAGTTCGAAGTACATATATGCGTCGTAAACCTGCTTACTATTTGAAATACATATACTTTAATTTTTAAAAAAGGTTCTGAAATAAGCCTTATCGTGATACGTGATTTAAGAAATTCAACGTTTACTTATGGAAGTATAATCCGTTTATTATCTAAACTTATATATATATATATATATATATATCATCTATAAATTGTAAAGATAGGTGAACTTCATTTGACCTGAATGAAAATAAAAAACTGAGAAATATGATTCAATGATGTTTGGATTAAATACTAATACTATTACTACTACTACCAATAATAATAATGGCCATCGTCACATGCTGTCTATACATGTGATAGGGTTATTAATTCATTACTGTCGTGACGAAAAAAGTATTTCAGGATTACTTGTTTGTGAAGCTGAATTTTAATTTTAGGTCAACTAAAAACACAAAAATAGATGTAGGATGGAATAGAATTTTGGATAGATTGATAAAATACCCTTACATTTACGTAAAAAAGTTTAAGCAGAGATGTATAGTGGATAACAGTGGAATCAAGGATGCACATATAATTCTATTTGGGATTCTTTGGCTGGATCCCACAATTGACGTTAACTCCTGAATTCGAACTTAGTAACATTCGCTCCAAACGTCATCGCGTTATTCAGTTAGTTACTGAGTCCAGTTAGCCACTGGCTTGTGCGATGGGGGGAATTTTAATATATATATATATATATATATATATATATATATATATATATATATATTAGTTTTTCACAGTTGACAGTTTATTTTGTAGATGACATTTGGTTTTTCCTCATTTGTAAACCCGTCCTTAGGTCCGCATTGGATTGATTGAAGTGATTTTGATGGTTTGTGTGTTACACCTATTCCAAACAGCTTCAATAATCTCGTAATTTCTGATATGTCTTTTAAATATGGTGAGATGATCCGTTTGGTGGTTTTTGTACTTGATTTCTCTTCTACTGATGAGTTGGGTTGATATTTCTTGATGAAGTTGCATAGACAGCCGTTCCTTTGAAAAATAGTCTTTAGATATTTTTCATCATTTTTCCGAGCTGCAAGTGTGTGTCCTTGCCCTCTTAAGTAGAGTTAGTACGCAATTGATTTTGTGAATTCCTGGGTTGTTGCTACTGTAATTGAGAATTTGATTCGTGTGGATCTGTTTACGATAAACCTAAGTTTACGGTTTCCCTGTGTTGGTTCTGGTGATTAGTACATGCAAGAATGGTAGTTTGTTGTTTGACTTCTTTTCCATTGTGAATGTTTTATCATTGAAGACATGTTTGTAGTAGCGATGATAGTGAAAGCTGGATCCAGAGAATACAGTTTTTAAAGGCAGAAAGAAACGACATGTATGAAGGAATACTGGAGCTCAAGATCTAGATGAACAGTAAATACATGTGGACAACTGTAATCTATTCGGAGTCAAATCACCAAACGTTTTTTAGCATCTCAGCAGTTCACCTGCAAAGTGATTAACGCTTAGTGATAATAAATGAGTACTAACTAAATTTTAAAAACTATACTTTTTTAAAGTGCAATGAAATAATTTAAGATACGTAATACATAGGAATTTACTACTACATTTAAACGTGAAAGTTAGTTCAACTTTTAATACTTGATATAGGATTAACCAATAACAGAGTCATTAATTTCAGTTACCTAAAGTCTTGAAATAAAGCATGCAATATCAAGCCACTTAGACTAGAATCCACACTACCACTTAATCGACACGATTTAATCGTCAATATGACACTGATCACTACCCACTCAGTGCTCAATAGATTGTAAAATTATAGTAATTATTCACAAAAGCAGAGCGGATAACTGTGTGAATATATTTGTATTAATAAAACCCTTTTTTCGTTATTGCCTAATACAATGAAACACCGATTAATTCACTATGAGGACACCAGACAAACGTCGTAAAGTTGTGTATAAACTACTGACTACTGGGAGAAAAATTCAATATTACCAGACAAAATATTGATGAATTCGAGCAAACTTTACTTGATATCTTACAACATACATCGAGCTAAAAAAAAACCAACACAAGGTTTTTTCTCGTGTTGTCAAATAGGGAACATTGTACAAGGAGAATTCCAGTGCTGATTAACACTTATTAATTACTCGTCTATAACCTGTTGAATAAAAAATATGAGGTAATTTGGAAATTCAAGGTTTAAAGGAGGCTAGAGTAAATACATGAGAGTCATTATGACCTTCGATTTCATTTCGAACATACATCTCGAAATCACTAATAAAGGTATTTTTAGCTTTGTATCTAACTATATTATTTCTTGTAATTTTAAGCCTTTTCGAAGTTTACAGGAAGTTTTGGAAAGAATAAAATCATTTTATTTTTTACTTTATTCAAATTTATCATTAGAGCTGATTAATTTAAACTCTTATTCATATTCTTAATGTTTTAGGCTACGGATATATGAGATTACATTTAGTATTGTGGTAAGATATAGTTGATATTTGTTACATTCTGCTTTTACAATATCACATCAATATTAAAATGTGATTATATTGGATAGAGAAAACTATGGTAGAAGTATTTCTAAGATTAAAAATATGACAATTAATGAACTCATGTTATTGATAGTTAAAATTAACCATTTCAAAGGTATACAGCACCTTGATAATAAATATGATTTGGGATTTAGTACACAAATATAGTGTTCTATTTGATCCCATCAACATTTTATGTATTACTATGTGGACTTGGCGGATTAAAATGACACAAAGAATCCGGTTCAGTTTAGCTGTATATCACAAAAATCGAGGTTCTAACTAGCGGGAAGTTGGCTCTTATGTAAGAAAATAACTCACGATATCGAAAACAATGCCGATGTGTAAAAAAGCCCTCATAAAATGGCAAGAAAAATATTAAATATGTAATTATGGACCATGATATGGGAAAAAATCTACCAGCATTAATTCATCAGTTTTGAACGTAAAGGAAATAATGAATGAGGTCATCACAGAATACAAACGACTAATCACTAAGTAGAGCAAAATGTCATGTTTGTCCCGTAACTTCATGATAATCGAATTCTATTGATCAGGTTAGATGATTAAAACTAGTCGGTAGGAGACTTAGGTTTCGAATCCGATAGGGAGCATCAGTCCTCTCAAGATTATAGATACGTCTTAACGATGAGTATTAACCAACACGAAACCAAATTCCAGGGTTTAATGTCGACTAATTTCAACCAACTAGCATTTGATGATAAATTGAAACCGAATGAATTTTCATTATTAATGTTTTTAACAGGTGAGAAGAAATAGACAATATAGCTTTTGTTTCCACGAAAAAACAACAACGACAAACTAAAGAACAAGATTACAAACATGATAAGAATGACTGTTCACAAACTGACTCTTTAATAAGTGTTTTAACTTTAATCAGGGAATTCTGAAATTTAAAACAAAATAGTTATTACGCACCCTACGGAATATTAGGATAAACCTTTCAAATCAGTTGGAAACGATATATTCAGTTTAGGTTAATAATATATCTTAAGTTTGTACACGGACGCACACTCGAAAGTAATATTATTATAGAATTGAAGGTAAATACAGAAGAAGACGAATCTTTGATCAGTGAAATATATTAAGTGGCGAGACTATAATTTGTGGACGGAGCAACGAAGTTAAGGATAGGAAGTCTTAGATTTTAGTGCGAAATTCATTTTGGCACTATAGATTATAGCTAGTTCGTGATGAAATACCGTACTTTAACTACTAACCTTTAGTTGTAACTCTAAATCCTACTTCTAATTCCTCATATTAATTTATAACTCTCTTCTGATCCTGGTAGGTAGGTGAGTTGCTTCAAGGTCAATAGCGTTGCTCAAAAGTTGTCCATAAATT